CCATTGGAGGTAATACCATCATGAAATTCATGAGCTTTTAACATCCATGAACAACATATTGCTGTGTGAGTTTATATCCATTTGCATTTCCTCAACCTACTTTACTTAGTAGGGCCCTCTGATGGTCATCAACATGAATCAGGATAGGAGCTCTGGTTTTTCGGCAGACCACCACATGTATGCACCAGAGACTTTGCACCATTTGACAGGCTTATATTATTTCCTTGTTTCCTTATTGACTGACAGCTTTGTGCTTTCTAAATAGTGTTTCTGTAAGCAATTTACATGTCTTCAATATGTACAGGGGCACAAGTTCCTCTGGAGAACTGGTGCTCTTTATCCTCATATGACTGTTAGGTAAAAAAAACCCAAAACCATTGAACATTATGGTAATAATGAGATAAACTTTATAAAATTAGAAATATTTATTAGTAAGAATCAGTGTGTATAAACCAAAAATAACAGATACAGTTGGGGCGTACTGAGGGAATGGCTCTACATTAGGACATGGGGAAATGTCTTCTCTGTAGAGATGTCTTCTCTGTCTACATGCATGAACTGGGTCCAGCCCAGATTGAGCCCTGTACAGCACACAAGGGGACATAACACTAACATTACATCATTAGGTTTGATTTAAATAAGGGTGCTTAACAAAGTAAACTATATAACCTCATGAGTCTGAAAATGAGACAGAGGCCTTTCATTTATAAGTTAGCTCATTATTCAACTCACCACAAGCCAGCAATTCACAGCCAAATAGAGCCTGCTAACAGGGGCTCAGTTAAGCCATCACATGCCACGGTCCTGGATCCTGAAGGAAAATCTCAATGATCCACATCTCTCTCAAAAAATACATTTATTTTAACTGGGGTTTAGCCCCTCATTGTTGACTGAATATCATTTTTGTCTTCAACTTTTTGTAGCAAAGTGACATCCATTCAACATCCATTCTAATGTACGATTTCTAACTATAAAATGACAAGTGAGCTATGGAGTTGCACGCTTACTGCCATTTTTGAGAGTTTCACTGGGAAACAATCCATATAAGAACCCATATAATAATACAATAATAGCAGATATATGCAACAGACCCAGGCAGGGAAATGCTAGCAGAGTGATTGTATTTGCACAGAAAAACACAACTTTCATGAAAGTAAAGAGGAAACAAACAAAAAACACAGAAACATGATGAGAACAATGCTACGCCACATGGGATCATCTCACATTTTGGAGCAAGTATATATTATGTGATTATATTTCAATGATTAGATCAGTTAGAAAGTAACCCTAAACTATGATAAAAGAATATGGAAAAGCCACAGTGATATACAAGGGCAGAGTGCCTGTCTTCAGAGGAAGATCCAGATGGGGGCTAAGATCTACTGACCAAGTGCTACTGGCCAGCCCTCTCTTTGCCAGCTGCCCTTGGACAAGATTGAATAGTGAAGGCAGTACAGAATGATACAAGAGTAGCTGTGCATCAACCTGGGAGGCTTCAAGCTAACATCTGGTTAGCACAAGGCGTATTCAGTAAATGCTGACCTCTGCAAACCCAGAGCAAAGTTGTGAAACTGCTGGGAGCACCCGCCCACTTTGCTAGGCAGCCTGAGGAATAAACCCAAGGTCTTAAAGAAGGCTGGATAATGAAAGGGTCAATATAGGGTCCTTATGTCTCCTGGAAAACAGTCACTTCAGTTTTCATTGCATTTTCCCTACCCCACAAACCTTTAGGAAGAGTCATAGTTATTTATATGCTTGGCCAGCAAGCAGAAATTCTCTTAGCTAGTCATGTTGACAATGGAGTGAAAAACTTACACAATAGTCCAATGGCTATGAATTTTATAAAATAAAATGGATGGGAATGACTGTATGAAACACAATGTGAATGAAGAATAGTGTGGAATACAATGTATACAAACTTGGTAAGCAAACCAATTTTTTTGTTTCTTAAAAAAAACTGCAATGGAGAATTCATACAACTTGAGTTTCACCAGTGTGTGCTTTCTTACATAGAAACACTGTAATGTAGCATAAAGATACAGTTTATAATTTGTGTAAAATGGGTTTCACAAAACAAAGTATTCTTAACTATTGAAAAAAAATGGAATGCAGGAAAAAGCTGTAGTTAAGAATTAGTGCAACATGGGTTTCACAAAACAATGTAAAATTTACTACTTGGAAATACTGGTATGGAAGACAAAACCACATTTGAGAATTTGTACAACACAGATTTTTGAAAACAACAAATTCTTACTTTCATGGGAACACTGCAAAATCAGGGGAAAGCTGCAGTTCAGAAGTCATGCAACACGGGTTTCACAAAACGATGTATGGCTTACTACTCGGAAATCCTGGCTTTCACAAAACAAAGTGTGCTTTCTTATGTGAAATAGGTTAATGTAGGATAAAGCTAAAAAGAAAAAAAGAAAGAAAGAAAAGAAAATCCCTGCAGAGGCTGTAAATGCCACTTGTTAACAGTTTTGTTTACCTACCTAAGAAAGCTAAGAGATGCTCTTGAACCAAAAGAAGTGTTTTCAGTCTTCATACTCTGAGAATGTCAATTAATTCTTGCAAGTTATAGAAATCATTCTCAACATCAAATTGACAGCACCTTTTGGAGTTAAAAAGCAAACATCTGCTCTTGGTTGTCCCTTTCCCCTTTCCTGCAGTCAACAGAAAGTTCTATTACTTGACACTGGTTTCTCCAGGGTCCTATCTTTTTGTAGTTGACCACTGAGATGGTAGACACAGCAATAATGGACTCAGAAGTACCAGCTCACAATTAATCTGTTCTTTACATTGTAGTTTTCAAAAAACATTGGGTGTCCCTTCAGTGGCCTTGACAAAGAAGGTATGAGCTGAAACTTGCTACCATGTCTCTGGTCTGACCATTTCTGAGGCTATTCTTCTACAGTTTTTCTACACCCTATAAAAGTCACTGCTTGGAAGAGCCTTTAAGAACCATCTCGCAGTTATAAAATCTAAATGAAAAGCAACTTCTTCCTCCTCCTCCTCCTCCCCCCCCC